GAAAAAATTCGTTTCGTCCTTCCAACAGTTGTTTCCCCCCGATACACACCTGGAAATTTTTCCGAAATAGCGACAGATGCAGAAAAAATAGTGACTGCGGAAAATCCAAGTTATGCCAGTACTGCAATTGCAAAATATACTTTAGGGCTTTCAATCACGTGTAGAATGACGGACACGATTACGAGCATAGAGTCTCCTTCTCACTTGATTTCCACTGAATTGAATATTAACGGCGATGCTAAAACCTCGAGGATTAGTCTGGCCGAAGAAATCACTTATTTAGAGAGAGACTTTATTTTAGTAGTGAAAAGTAATGGATTAGATGAACCAAGGTATATATTTTTTGTTGCAAAGTTTTTTATTTTGTTTTAGAAAATATATTACGTATTTTTAATTGGGCTCCAATTTAACTATAGAGCATTTATTGAATATAATCCAAAGACGGAAACAAATGTTGTTATGTTAACATTGGTCCCGAAATTTTCTCCAGGTTTAGCGAAAATGAACGAAATGATATTTGTAGTTGACAGGTATTATTCAGCATATACTGCTAATTTTAATTAGATATAATTAATTTATGAAATTTAATTCATCTAGGTCAGGTTCAATGTCTGATGGTCCAATCCTTAAAGCATCACAAGCTCTTCAATTAATTCTTCGTTCGCTTCCCGAAAACTGTCTTTTCAATATCGTTTCCTTTGGAAGTGAGTTTGACTCCCTATTCAAGGAAAGTGAACGCTATTCAGAGAAGACATTTTCCATTGCCTTATCCCATGTTGAAAATATGGAAGCTGATTACGGTGGAACAGAAATAAAAAACGTTCTCGAATGGGTAGTTAAGACTGCTCGTAGTGATATGCCAACTTCTGTTTTCTTACTGACAGATGGCGAAGTATGGAACGTCGACGAACTAGTCCAACTGATTCAGAAAGCTGCCAACAGCCCAACCAAAGATTTCCGACTTTTCTCTTTAGGCATTGGATCTAGCGTCTCGCATCATTTAGTAGAGTCGATTGCTCGAGCCGGGAAAGGTTATGCGCAATTTGTCACTGATGAAGAACGCATGGATAAGAAAGTTATCGGAATGGTAAAGAATGCAATCAAAAGCACTTTAACGGATTATCAAGTTGAATGGATTGGCAGGACGCCAACAGAGACCAAGAATAAATCGATTCTTTCGTTTCCCTGGAGTTCGAAAAAAAATGAGAATGATAAAATTCGCCAGGCTCCAAACTCTATTCCCACTATATATTCGGGTGTGCGTGTAGTAGTTTACGCGATTCTGGCGAAAGGCGTTGAGCCTAAAAAAGTTATAACTCTTTCGGCACAATCCTTGGATGGCCCGATTAAACTTGACATCGATGTAGATCCGGTAACACTTCAGGGATCAAAAATACATACATTGGCTGCTCGGAAATTAATTCAGGATTTGGAAGAAGGCACTTCTTTCCTGCATGCCGAATCTGAAGAAAAAAATAAAGTTTCCGATGATCTTGTCAAAGAGCAAATTATTAATCTTGGTAAAATTCATTATCTCATAAAAACTCTCAATTTATTTTTTATTAAACTTATCTAAATGAATTATAAAAATTAGGTATTACTTTCAGCCTTGCATCACGATATACCAGGTAATTTTTCTAAAAAGATTCAAAACTATTTTATTTTTATATTTTTGAATTAAAATTATTCCAATATTATTTAGTTTTCTAGCAATAGACGAGAAAACTAAATCTGAAATTGCCAGAAGCGAAACACTTAAGCAGAAAAGAGAAGTTCCAGAAGTTAAACGTTCTTTTATTATGCCAAGTGTAATGTTTAGTGCAGATAAATTTAATGAATGTGCAGAAGAATTTGAATCATTTAGTAATAATATTTCAGCGGTATATGATTCTGAAGCATACGAACCAGGAGAATTAAGTTATTCACCATTGTTTAATCCACCAGCACCTCCACCACCTCCATCAACACCAGTTAGTCATTTAAATGTCTTGTCAATGCCTCTACCTCCAGCTTCAATGGCATTTTTCTCACAAACTCAATCATTAATATCATTTGACACAAAGACATCAACTATTGATACATTATATGCATTTCTAAAATTACAATCTTTCGATGGAAAGTTCGTTGCAAGAGACTCTAATTTTTCGAGTCTATTTTCCGGAGACGATTCAAAGAAAGCCGACAATTTAGAGTGGACAACAGCCGTGGCAATGGCTTATTTGGAGATTGTGATGAAAGAGTTTAAAGAAGAATGGGAATTATGCTATGAAAAGGCGGAACGCGCATTAATCAAGTTGATTGGTGAAAGTGGGAGAGAAAAGAAGGTTGAAAATCTTTTGGCGGAGGCTCGTGAATGGGTACAAAAATGGGTCACGGCCAAGTAATTACGTATATCGATATATTTACATCGTACATGTATAATGATAATTTGAACACAATTTTGGTACCCCATGCAAAATATCTCAGCGCATACACGTACGTACTACTGATACGTATCTATACATGTATATGTCAAATGTGTCACATTAAATACAGACTTTGAATGATGCAACTCGCTGCACATGATACTTTACAATGTTATGATTGGATAAATGAAAAATAGTAAAAATCTGATTCTTATCGTTATTTTCTTGTTCATAATCAAAAACATCAAAAATGAATTTCGTTAACCCTCTATTTTCTTCGAGTTTGCTTTTATTATGTATTATAACAGTCGTTCAATCAATTTCTATTGCACCAAATAACCCTACTAAATTTGTAAAGGGCCGTGCATTTGATCGTTTGTTTTATATTATTTTTGAGAACACTAATTATGAAGGTGTGTATTGAAAATAATCATTTCTATCGAAACTACGTATCTGATTTGTTTTGAATTTTAATAAAAAGATGCTCTCGCGGATCCTTATTTTAAGAGTTTGACTAATCAAGGACTTTTTCTTACTAATTTTTATGCGGTAAAAATATCTTTGTTTCTTTATGCTTTTTTTGATAATAACTTCACGACTGAAATTAATTCTTTATGCTTTTTTTGACCTACTAATAAAGCTTGCTCATCCATCTGAACCCAATTATCTGGGATTGATTTCGGCACAGACATTTGAAAAAGACGAACAATACACAAGACTTGATTTGAATAGCACCACGCTCATTGGTGAGGTTTACGTTGTTCAAAATTATCAAAATTGACGACGCTTCGATAATTAATTATTCGTTTCAATTTAGATTTGCTTGAACCAAAAGGAATCACTTGGAAATCATATCAAGAAAATGTACGCGCACGTTTTATACAACTCTGAATTTCTTATCATTGGCTAATTTACGAATTCATTTATTCTAGTATCCAGGAAATTGTTACAAGGAATATTATTCTCCAGATAGAAAATATGCAGAAAGACATAACCCATTCATGTCGTTTCCAAGTATTTCGTAGGTTTCATCCCCGATTATATACTTACTATTCTCTATAATTTTAATACTTCCTTTCTTCTATGATACTCGAATAGAGGTGTCCCAGCACGATGTGCCAGAGTCGTACCAGCTACCGAGTTAGATGTTGACATTAGTGAGAATAACTTGCCTCAGTATATGTTTTATACTCCCAATCTGGTATAAATCTTACTTTTGCATAAACTCTTACAAATATACACTACTCATCTACTTCCGTTTCTTTCTCTTTTCATTGTAATTCTATGCTTTTTAACATGATAACATTAATACAGGATAACGATGCACATGACACAAACATAACATTCGCAGGCGCTTATTTTTCAAAATTTTTAAGTCCAAAACTCAAAGACTCAAAATTTTTCGATAACAAGACATTAATCATAATCACATTCGATGAATCAGAATTTTACAACAATACAAATCAAATTTACACGTTATTGCTTGGCTCAGCGATTGATCCTTCGTTGCGTGGCAAAACAGATGACACGCCGTATAATCATTACTCGGTGTTGAGATCAATTGAATTTAATTGGAACTTAGGGTATGTAAATTAAGTTTTGGTAATTATGGTGGAATTTTTGACAATATTAATATTTTTTATAAAAGATCTTTGGGACGTAATGACACCAACGCAACTGTGTTTAAATTCATTAATGATTCTCCTCCACTATTGGATGACTCAAAAACAAGCGAATCTGATCCGGAAGTTAAAATTGCGAGTTATAGTGGATCTTCAGTTTTATTTTCATCATTTGAAAATATGTCAAGTATTCTATTTATTTTACTGCAATTTTTGTTCTAAAAAAATAGTACAGTCATCCCTCTATATAAGAACACGCTATATAAGAACACCTCTCTATAGGAACACAATTTTGAGGACCGAATAATTAATATTGATAATAAAAATAACCTCTTTATAAGAACAACTCTCTATAAGAACCAATTTTTATGGCCCGACCATGTTCTGATAAAGAGGGATGACTGTATAATAATTAAAATTGCGCCTTAGAAGATAAATTATCAGTTTTGTGCCGCTTACGAGTAAAAATAAAATGCTTTATAAATTGTAACACGTAGTGTGGTAGGACCACAAAAGACTATTTTCTTTAGGAAAGTTCCTAGCACAACATTATCATCGCCTTTTAATCTCAAGCAAAATATTGCCGCTATGCAATTCAATCTCTATTGTGTAAACATTTAAAAAATAAATACATTTTATATTTATATATTAGACTCAATTTTGCATTAGCGTTAGATGAATTGTTTAATCTTAAACTTCATTTAGCTTTTGATACAAAACCAAACCAATTTCACACTCAAACATATGCATATACCATCGTTAAAGCTAGTTGTGATTGATTTCTTTACTCCCCTTTTATAAGAGGTAGCTCACATGAATAATTACATTTCTATTCGATAGGAATAATTCTCGTCAAATTTGGTTTTGAAAAAACAAACAGCTGACGACGCTTTGTGAATCGGAAACTTGTAGCTAGCATTTGATCATGCTCTTTTATATCAGTCATGTCAAAAGAATTATTAACGTTAATAATAATAAATTCACTAAAAATAAAAGTAATTACCATTCTCTTCAACTTGGACGTTTTGCAATGGCACTAGTGTGTCGATCACTTATTTGTAAAATAAGATTAACTTGAAGAAAAACGAAAAGGGTGAAATCCCAGCTTAAAGAAAAAGACGTAATTTAAATTATCAGTTGAAAATTTTACATTGTACAAGTACGTGTACGTAGTATCGGTATGTTACGCTACGCAAAACTAATGGTCGCTTTCAAACATTGACCATATATATCGATATGGCTATAACTTGATAAGATTACCATCACCTTTTAAGAGCTAGGCAACTCCCCCCTCCCCATTATAGTTGAATACATGTGCGTGTAAAGGGATCAATCCAAAGAAGATGAAATTTGCTAGCTACGTACGTAGCGGTAGTCCAAAATTTTGTTATGCATCTCTCACAATAAAGCTGCTTAGAAGTGTGCCCACGAGTTAAGAGAAACGACAGCACCGAAGACAACAATACTTGAATTTATGATTCGACAGTAAATTTTAAAATTGTTGTTATGCTACTAATCAAATCTGACGTTTTATTCTAATTAGAGATGGGCAAATCGATGCATTGCAGACCATTTAATCACGAGTTTTTTTTGTTTGAGGTAAATAAAACAGGAAATACATGTACATGTTGTCATTGCTTCTAAGACACAAATGAGACGAGATAAATTTTCGTACAAACGATAACATATGTTCTAAAATACTACGTGAGTATTTACTGACGATTATTTTGATTTTTTGTGGATGTTGTTGCGTGTTGTGTGTTTAAAATCTCTGGATCTATTAAGAACTTGGAAAGGCGATACATTATTAATATGTAAATTAGAACAGGACATATACAGTCAGTGACAAAAAACTAATTTAGCAAATTCAAAACCTAAAGATATAATTGATATAAATTTAATATGGGATCTTTCACCCTTATTCTCAATAATTAATTTACAACGGCGTGGCATTGAATTTACCAAATTCTTTAACATAGTATCTGGAAAAGAATTCCATTCATCAACCATAAACTGCTCCAGATCATTTATATTTTGCAGCATTCATTTTTCTACTTCAACAATTACATACTCATAGATTTCAATAGGATTTAGATCTGGACTCGATGACGGCCAATCAAGAACTTTGGGTACATTTCTTCCCAAGCATCCCGTTAATTTTCCCCCAACATGTTGCTGCAAAATTTTGATGTAAAAGTCAGTATCCATAATATGCTGAAAGCAAAATAGACGAGTTTTTTCCGCAAAAACTACCCCACGCAAAAATTTTTGTATGATCTTTTGGTATTGGATGGACCAGTCACTGCCTTTGTACCAATGTTCGATTGTATTTGGAAACAATTGGAATGCTGTTTCATTGGAAAATAATGTTTTTTTTTAGTCATCTTTAAGATGACATTTGGCTTATTAAAGATGCTTCTGTCAGCATTGGCGTAGCATTGGTAGGTTTTCATATATCCAAGCGATTTAAATGTCTGCCAATTGTATGATATGAAATATTTAACTCCTCCGTATTCAGTTTAGTAGCAATTTTTCGCAGAGACAAAGAAAAAGTTTTACGAGCATATTGACCCATCTTTTTCGATACATGTGTTTTTAGGGACGACCATTACCGTCTTTGTGCTGAATTATTCCTGTTGATTCTAGTTTTTTGATATTGTATCGTACAGTTTAAATAGGTAGGACAGTGAGTTTACTTAGCTTTAACATGGAACGTTTACCTTTGTGGCAGAAACATAATAGCTTTTATTTCTCAAGTTTGAAAGCCATCTTTGATGTAAATTATCAAAAAATGGCGCAAATTAATTCTGTACTAGGAATAGCAGAAAGTTTATCACATAAGTTTTATTTTATGAAAAAAGAGTGTATGTAATTCAAATCTTCAAATCCGCTACATACTTTCAGAATGATAATTATCTATCATCTAAAGCAAACGTTAAAAATTTATATAAAAAACGTTTAATCTTAACGAAAAATATCTAAAAGATCATCTCCAACTCTTCATCACTTAACATGTAAAACATCTGATCATTTTATTCTGCTTCTTGTTTTGATTCTAATTCAGATTTGTTAATGTCTTCTTTTATTTATCTGAAATTAGACAAAGATGAACTATTTTTTGCATTTAACCTGATTAAAATCTTAATATTGATTTTTATTAGATTTAGATTAGGTTAATATTTTAAAATATTTTTAAAATAATAATATTTAATCTGAGTTAAGCCTAATAAAAGCCAATTAAAAATCAGTATTGAACTTATTTCAAGATTAACTATTATTATTTCAAAATATTTAATCTAATCTAAGCTTGATAAAAGCTGACTGAAAATTAGTATTAATATTTTTATTAGGTTTTTATCAAATTAAATTTCCAGAAAATTTTCTGAATTCTGAAAAATTTTTGGAAAATATATTCTGTTTTTTTACATAATTAAAATAAAGCTAAAAATCTGTATTTTAATATATATGAGTTAATTACAATAGAAATAGTGTAAATTATATTAGAATTTATAATATAATTTATACTTTTTTATTGCACTTAGCACATATATTAGTTATGAATTTTGAAATTTAATTTCAAAAAATATTTTTGATTATAAAATTAATTACATGAATTTTTATAATTAATCTATTAAATTTGAATTTTAATTACTCAAGTTTATACAATTAACTTCACAACCAGAAATATTTCTTAAAATTAAATTTAAAAATATCTATATAAATATATTTCTTTAATAAAATAATAAATATTATTACGTATAGAGAAAACTTTTCAATTTTTTTAATTTTTAGTAATTTATTGTAGATATATATTTTTTTAAATTTATATTAAAAATTTGACTGTGACAATATTAATAGTAATAGTAATAAATAATAATAATAAAAATTTGTTTAATTTTTTCTAAATAATTGATAATTGCAAAACTCTTTTATATATTTTGAATAAATATCTATTATTATTATTATTATTATTATTATTATTATTATTATTATTATTATTATTATTATTATTATTATTATTATTA